CGTAACTCGATTCGAATCCTTTGTAAGTAAATGTATAACTATCAATGAAATTTGTTCGAAATGTTTCGCAAGTATCGAGAATCCATCGATAATAATCGAATAAAATTTACTTTGATTGTTGAATTTGATTCAGATTTACGAGCACACATTGAACTTGATCCCATCAGTAGTGACAAATTTGTTGAGAAAGCAGCACGACATATGATTATAAATAATTTTCTTAGAAAAAAAAAAAAAAGATTAATTCAAAATTTGTCTTTAAGAGAATCATGTAATAATTGCAATTAGAATCTTTTCTCTTCAACGATAAAGGAAGCGGAGAACTCATTTTTTTCTATATATGTTTTTCCCCATCAAAGTTTTATCTTCGTTACCTTCCAACCGTTCCGGTTTCAAAGAAAAAGTAGACACTTATGAAAAGAAAGTGGTTTCGTCCAAAGAAGAAACTCGTGAGGACAATTTCAGGATCGTGGGGAAAAGAAAGAACAGAGCCTTGCGTAGAGTATAATTTTCACCTTATTTTTTTTTTTTCGAAACAATACCTTCTTCGATTTAATTTAATTAACACCGTCCCCTAGATTCGATCCCCTGATATCTTAAAATAAAAGATAGAAAAAGGATAAATACGATAATTTTAATTATTTCACTTATTCGAACGAAATTGGAGGACAAGCTAGATCGAATATAATTGAAATTCGAACGATAAAAGTGTCGATGTTTGATAAACAAGTCAAGATACATTGCATTTTCTTTTTCTCTTCATCTCATTGGATACAAAAATCGAAATCGAGAAATAAACTATTCGCAATTTTATAGAACACGTAACTGACGTCTATCTCGAATACCAATTGTATATCAATAATTTGCACAATTCGTTAAATAAAAATGTAGAATCAAAGAGCGAAATAAAACTGTATTTCTTCTTCAATCATTAAAGATCCAACCTACACAAAACCTAAGATATCCAAATAAATAATTAATTCTCTTTGCTCTTTGTAACTTGGTTCCTAATCGAGAGACATCGAGTTTGAGCGACAGAAATTCTTTGACTCACTTTCGTACAAATAAAACGCGAATGGAATCAAGATTCTATTTCGCTCGCGAAAATGGAGGACACTCGAACGATAAATTCAGCGGGATTTAAGCTTCCGAAAGAGACCCTTTATTGAAATCCCTCCCCCGCCCCCCAACGATGAAATGTTTCCCCAGTCGGCAAGGTGACGTTCCATAAAATGAACTCGAGACAGTTTCCTTGGAGATCTCTTGGCAAAACTTGCAAACCGTGACCGATGCCTGGCCAATGTTACGTAACGCCAGTAGCGAAACGCTTGATAAATGCGAGTTTATTTCAATCCTCTTTGCGTAGGAAGTGGTCAGGGTCGACGTCCACTAACCCAGATAAAGCGATTTCGCTCCTCTATACGGTATTTTCAGTTCTCCAGGGGGTGTCGAAACGAGGCGACGACTTGTCCCTCTTCTCTCTGTTCTCCATCTCCTTCACAGCCCAGTGTTTCTCTCTTTTTCTCCTCTTTCTCGCTCCTACCTCTACTCGTCTCTTTTGCCTGGCTTCATAACTGGGTTGCGATCGAACTCTGTATTCCCTTGCTCCTCCATTAATTCTGAAACGTTCTCTTCGCAGTTGTCGCCATCTTGTCTTCAAATGATGTTTCAATTTCGAAGATTCTGATTATTATGTACGATCGAAGTCACATCTGTATTTTTTACGTGTACAATTTTCATGTATAAGATTCGAATACAGATCCAACTCTGGATTATTTTTTATGCAATTTATTATTATACGCTTCAAGATTTTCTCGCTTGAAAAAAAAAGATTCTTCTATCCTTATAGGATTATTCAAGCATCTTGTTCGAATGGACCTTTGACCACCGTTGATCGTGTCTCTGAAGGGAAGGAAGAAGAATCCTTTTTTTATCCGGGGAATTTTCATTCGTCGATAAATTTGCAACACGGTCGAATGAAGTTGAGTACGCCGGATGAAACATGACTCAATAACGTCTAGTATACTTTGAATACGAGAACTCCTCGAGTTCAGTTTAGAGAGTCCTTTGCCAGTCAAGAGAGTCCCTCTCTTCTTTTTCTTTGATCCTTGTGCTTGAAACTGTTCCGGATCAAATGAGATCTGCTTTAATTTTCGTTAAGATTTATCAAACGTAAATGGAAAAAACATACGACATTGTTATAATCCGATATCTTCTATATCGAAACAATACGATACATGTGATTTATAAAATTTTCGATTCAAAGGGACTAGACTAGAACGATTATTTTACTTAAGATCCAATCGTTAAATTCCACATTGTTCAATTTCTTTTGTCTTTTTTCTCGCCATTAATCACACAATTTCAAAAATATTCCAAAGCATCAATTAGATCTAGGTCTTCGACGCTATTTTTCCTTATTTCCACATTTCTGCAATCTCCATATTTCCCTCGAACCCAATTACCTTTCCCCCTGATTCCACAGGGTCGACATTCTGAGGCAAGGCCGAAACACCCCGAACCGTTTAATTCGTGGCTTGGTCAGGGTCGACGTCGTGAGAGAGAGGGGGGGGGAGAGAGTCCAGTAACCCAGATAACAAGTCGACTTTGACTGTTCACCGTGTCTTCGTCCCCCACAAGAGGGATGTTGAAGATTCCATGCGTTGCGTGCGCGCCACCATTCACCCCTTTCACTTGCCGTATCCACCCCGTTGTCTCTCTTTCTCGCGCGACCACCCCTCGAAAGCCATCCACCACCTCCTCCTCGGTCCGCGCACTCGTCCGGGGGTGGCGGATCGTCCTGGCGCAGCCAGTGCCCGCGCGTCTTTCGCGATCGTCGGACCGCGCGTACCGAAAACGGGAAGGTGTTCTCGCGTGTCCTCAACCCTCGAGGAACGAGGGTGCACCGAGGTGCGCGCAACTTGGTTCGAATAATTCCAACAGGATGATAAATAAAAACGGGATCAGTGTTGTTTGTTGTGCTCATTCGTGGTGGAAAATTCGAGGAAAATTTGTAAGGGGTTGAAGAGGATACCGTTATACAGGATAAGGTATTATCTGGCTGGCCGGAATTGGAACTCGCGACAAAAACAATCGTCCTCTTCCTTTTTCGGTTTGGACGGATAGATCATGAGAATGGGACGAAGAAGTGGCACGCTCGAGATGTTGAATACTCGACTCGAATAAAGTGTTTGAACAAAGCGAACGAGTAAAAGAATTCTTTGACGATGCGTGTCGGAAATTTGGTATCCCAGGTGTGTTGATTTGTTTTTATTTTTCATTTTTTTCGTCCGACTATAAAATTGCCGTAACGTAAGAATACCCGTCCCCATCTCCAACCATGACGACCCGCAGGATAAGGGGAACTCGGCCGAGATAATGCGCCGCTATCAGGATGGATATTTCCGGTGATCACGCTCGACGAGCGCAATAACGTTCGGTTGTAATTGGCCTATCATATCGGGGATTGAATAGATTCGATGGGATCATCTCGTGTTCACCGAAAGGAACTGGTCGGAACAGCCTGATAAAATCACCATTCTTGTTTTCGATTCTCCATTGTCGAGTGCTTGTTGTTGTGCTCCGCTTTCTATCTCTCCATCGCGAGGATTATTGGCGAGATTCGAGTGAAAAAGTATGCTACGAAGGACAAGTCTCGTGCGAGTGTGAACGTCGCAAGGTGTACGGTGATTCGAGGTTCGGTCAAGATAGACGAGTGAGGTGGTGGTGACTCTTCCAGTTCCGGACGAGTTTGTTTAACTTGGTGGAAATGTGAGTATGTGCATGCAACGATTCGAACAAATTCTCGTGCACACGTTCGACGAGGAATTACGAACCTTCGCCTTTGGCCCCCCTCCAAACGCGATTTATTAATCCGACATCCAACCATTCTTGGAAAATATTCCTTCACTTCTCGATCTCAAGATACCAGATGTTAAGGTGATCGACGAATATGCATTGGCCATCACCCATTATCTCTAGTTTTTCACTTGACTCTGGGCGCGTGTGTGTTTGTGGTTTAGAAACGCATCAACAGTTTCCCACCGGTTGGCGATTCGAACCGATCAATGAACCGATCTCTCCACAATTCTCCTTCCCTATTCTTCCTTCGTCCATAATCCATTTTTGTGCGGATACGATTTTCCCTTGGCAAAGAGCTTAATGAGATCCAGGCAGACAGATGAGCTCGATCATTAGGGAGAAAGTTTATATCAAGGAAATAAGCTCGATGAAATTTCGGTATAAATAACTTTGCTTTGTGCGTATCAATTTTGCCTCGAGCAATTTTTCTATCAAAGGTTCTCGATCGATGTTCTCGTCGAGTTGTTTCTCGAAACAAATTTGAAATTTGAAAATCTCGATTGTTGCTTGTATCGATCATATCGATTATACCGTCAATAATTTAAAATGAAATAATCACCCGCGATGATAAATAATAAAGTTGGAGAACATTTTTCGAGAACAACACTTTTTCTTTTTTTTTCAATCTCGTAACAGTCGTTAACGAAATTATTCACGAACTCGAGCTACGAATCGTTCTCGATTCCATTTCAGGTCAAAGGTTTACGTTTTCCTCTAACCACGTTTCGTCTAATTTAATTATACCAAACGAATGCCTCAAATGCTTAACCTATTGTTGAACACGGTATCTATTTATCGAACGTCCACCATCCCATCCAACATCGTCAATACAAATCTCTGCAATTTCGGACCTTTTTCCCCCCCCCTCGCGTTGGAGAATTAGTTTTGCAATCGCGCGAGAACCATCCACCATCCCTCCCCCCTTCTCTTCTTCAACCTTCGCTCCGAAATTACGAAATTACGTTATTAAACTCCATCCGCAGCGAGTTGGGGGAGCGGAAATCGAATTAATCGCGGCAAATTTGCAGAATGGTCTTGCAGAAAAGCTGGAACGAACTCACACACGGTCGAGAATTCCATGGTTCCATGGTATTTCGATTTGTATCGGAGAACGAGAGCATCGCGATAGTATAGCAGTCTTTTTTTAACGTGCTCCGCTTCTTCCTTCTCCCTTTATCCGCTCCCACTGTCTCCCTCTTTCTCGAGCTCGTCCACGATTTCTCGGGCTTCCACGCGAGCAAAGTGGGTTTCGCCGGGGACGAGACATTCCCGAAGAATAACGGCAATTACGATGCAACGACGTTCCCAACTTTCGTGTCGTTTTCCCAACCTCTCGTCGACACTGGATTTTTGGTCACGATCTCTTGCCAACCACGGCTCTATTCCACCTTTTAACGGGGGAATATTTTTCGAAATTCAGCTGAATTTGACTGAACGCTTCCTTTTTCTCTTCGTCGTTGAGATGATTCGTGGATCTTGTTATTGGAAAATTTTCACAATATTTTCTTAAATTAAGAAAGAATAGAGGATTCGTTTCGACCCTTTAGCGATATCAGTCCGCCTTGGTAGAGTTGATTTACGATTGGTGAGTAAATCGAATAATAATTAAAATGAAAATTGAATAAGTATATTCAAAATATTCTTGTTTCGTTCGAGAAAGTGTACGATAATAAGATAATACAGGCACGATCACAAATTTTCGTGCAACAATTGAATTAAATTCAATTTTTGAAGAATTAAATCTGACTTTACACGATATATATCAAAATTAACGATAATTGGTATCGATAATTGGTAGCTGCATTGTCAACAAGGAAATACGCATGTAATTTACAGTCTGGTATCTACTAATTCACGGATGTGTCCATAAATTAATGACAAAAGCTATTAGCCCGTACAATTAAGGGTATAATTGATGTCACTGAAATATCGTGCCTGCCTGCAAATCTCACTTCATATCCCAGTTGTAAATTTTATGCATTGTATGCACGATCCACCAGCCCGTCTCTTCCCTATCCCTATCACCTTCGTTTTCACTGTCTTCGAATCCGTGGCAGTTGGCAATAATTAAAATTCCAAACTTATCCGGGGTAACGAAAAAGAGGGATGGATGTGTCACGAGAGAATACGGTCAGGATGAGAATATAAAATTTCGTGGAAAATTTCTGCGTGTCGACAGAGGAGAGTACGTGTTGAGAGTATCGCGATGGTTCTCCGTTTCTCCCTTAATTCGTCGCCGACGAGCGATTATTACGAAATAAATTCTTACGTTTCACGAATATCTCTTTCGGAAATTTCGAAATTCTTAAGGGATTAAGATTACTGTGTCGTGTTTTTAGGAAAAGGGTAATGATTGCTAATCGATCGAAATCGGGAAGTCAGGCTGGAAGAGTGAAAATGGCGGGAAATCATGGTGCAAGAAGTTCGAAATGAAACATATAAATTTGAATATTAATTAATCATGTTCTTTTAAATTAAATTCATCGTATTCTTTCCCCGTTTCGATAAATCAAAAACCAATGTTTCTTTGAATTCTACAGGAAGAATTTTTTTTTTTTTCAATATATATTTCATTCGATATTAACGAGAAATGTTGCAGAATTTAAGCTGGATCAAAGAATAATTCACATCGAGAAAGCGAAATATTGACAAATTTGGTTTGATAACTTGGAAGCAATGTCTGGTAAAGTTACGCAGCAACGTATATGCTCGAATGTGATATTTTTTTCATTTCAAATGGAAATGATGCGTTACGAATAGCAATCCCTTTATAAATAAAACGATAGACAGCGTCGTAAGAGCGATACGCTTCTCATGAATTTGAGAAACGAATTCAATTTTTTCTCATTCTCAATCCGCCCTTTCACGAAAATTGAAGAATCCTTTGATGAAATTCTTGCAATCTATATTCGCCTCGATAATAACGAACGAAACCCCAGCAATCAAACCGACTCAGTTTTCTCGTCCACGACGATCAACCACCATTCATCCCCTTCGATGAATTCCAATGATCGTAGAGCTCTTACTAAGACATTCGCCCATCCGGAAGGAATTGATCCAATAAATATTTCAATGCATCGGGATGAAACGGGATGAAATTTCGTGAATTACGTTCGATCGATACTACTTCCCAATCAAATATTTTGAATATCGCGATCCACGTTAATGATACAAGTTAAAATCAAATTTCATCGAAATAATCACCTTTCTTTTAAATACAAATCTAAACAAATTTTGTTTTTTTTTTTCATTCACTCATCCACTCATCTTTCTTTGTATAAAATAATCGACGTTTAATATATATTTTATCGACGCTTCGATATTTTACAACCGAGAGAAGTAATAACATCGTTTGTTAAAAATATCCATCCATGATGGAATGGAATAATATAAAAAAATATAATATAATAATAAAAAAAATAAATATCAAAAATTGCTCACCGGAACGGGCAGAATCGAGCAGAAGAATGCTCGACAGAACGAATTTTATTACTCGCGAATCCTAACGATTCCGAACGATCGAATAATAAAAATAAAACAGCGATAAATAATCGAGCTTTTGCCGTCGAAACGACGACGAATCGATGATACGTCCAAGCCAAGATTCACCACGGAGGAGGAGTCGTGAGATAACTCGCATCGATGGATTTTCGTGGAATCGTAAAACTGAACTGGTGGCCAGTAAAAATCTCCAACCAAGAATCAAGAGAGGGAGGGGGAGTAGGTGAATAACGTGGGTGGACGGAACGGTTCAAGGGTGAGGAGAACAAGGACGATTCGGACACACGTACGCAATCAAGCGGCGCGCTTAAGGCCGGAGAAATGGCAAACAAACACGGCTGGGGGCAAAGTTACCCATCGCTAAATTGGGTTAGCTTAAATCCGTTTACGTTAACTCTAATAGCGGAAGCGTGAGCTGCATGTGGCAACGACACCGAGGACCCCTCCACCCTTTTATACGCCCGCTAGGTTTCTATCGATCAACGATCCAACAGCTGCCGGATTGTTGGCGAGGAATGGTCTTGCGTAGCACGATAATTTCGAGAAGGAGGCCTGCAAACATGTAATTTAGACCGATTAGAAAATCAATGTGGATGGAGAGATCGAGGTGAAATATCCATTGTTCTTGGAAAAAAATAAAAATATTTCTTTGATTATGCCAAGAATAAATTTTCTAAAAGTTCTCACGTGTCAAGTCGTAACTTCATAATTCACTTACATGCGAATTCAATAATTAAATTATTTCCAAACATCAATTTTTCCATCGATCGTAACACAAAAAGGACGAATTTATTATGCGCGATACGAAAAGATTGTTAACAAGATTCCCGATACAAACCTCGAATTAAATTAACCATTTTTAATTTTGCGATATATAAAATGATAAAATGTTAAAATAAACTCCCTTGTGCGAACGAAAAATAATTATTAATTGGAAAGAATAAGTGAATGAATTTATTACCAGTTGTTTATCCCGCAATTTTACACAAATTTAATTAAAATGGATTCGCAATCTGCATAAAGATCGTAATCGAAAATGTTGAAATAGACGATGTATCAATAACAGCGTGTTTCGTTCGTACGTATAATGAAATAATTATTCCGAAAACAGAGGATTTTTACTTCATAAACGCAACCGTCAATCAACAAAAGTTCCAATTCGATATTCGCAGGAAAAATCTGACGATTGTTTTCAAATGTTCTCGCGTATCGAATACACACGAGAATATAATGGACACATTGGCGGTATTTGGAAATCTTCTCACGCGTTGCTCCACTTCACAGATGATCCAACGATCGTTAATCGTAATTAAACGCTCGTCGAGATTACGTTGCGCCAACAACAAGATGGACCAAGATCGCACGATTAAACAAACGATAAATTCTGCCGTTATCCTCGCGAGGGTGTAACAACAATTAACCTTAGTAATTGTGGTACTTTCAATTATCTCAGGGCCAAGAGCCAACAACCTCTCGATGTCCTCTCCATGTTCTCCATTAGACGCCAATTTATATACACGATTGCAAACGCGGATATAATTGTTGATCGACGCGTATTGGTTGCGTTGCGCGCATTTTCATCGATAAATGTTCCTTCACGTGTCGCAAATTGCACGCGTAATCGCGTTAACGTTTCGCTTGATCCGCATGCAAATGAACTGTACACGACTTCAACGACCGTGTTTTTCGTTCCACGCAATTACGATTAACGCATAAACGAGTTAATTCGAGGAGCTGAGAGAAGTCGTTTGCAAGTTAAACAAGAAAAAAGCGGGTTATTCGTAAGTGGTGCACACACGCTTCCTCGATTTTTTAACAAGAAAATCTTTTCTTTCAATCTTTCTTAGATTATTATTACAGTGATATCGGAGAGGGGCGAATTTTAAAGTTGGAGAAGATTCGATCGAACAGTGCTCTCTTTCTTTCTCTCTTCTTGAATAAAACATTCGATTTTATAAATAATAGAACAAAGTAATATAATATCGTGACGACACTTTGAAAATCAAATTATTTGTCGTAGACTGGCAAAAGATTTAAATAATCTTAGCATTTTCGTAAAAGCTATGATCAGGAATACAAAAATTACAACAATTCACGGATTCCTTCGACGATTCCCATTTATCGATCACGAGAGATTCCAAACTCTTCTCCTTGAATTAGATAATCCCTTCCTTTCTCGAAACGTATCTGCTGAACCATGAGATACGTTTTCGAATACGGACGAGAAAAAGGAATTTTCTGGAAAATTCAATCGTACCAAGGGTATTGCTCGATCGTATACAAAGGAAGCACCATTCCATTGAAACAAGAACGATCTTCCGCGAGCGAATCCTCCATTTTGGGAACTCGTATTGTTCCCAAACGAACAACACGTTTTTCCGTGCGAATTCGACCCGAGATATCAATCAGTGATTTATGAGTTGGAACACGCGTGCCATCCAAGCCTTTCCATTAAACTGATCACCTCCATTACATCTCGCAGACAACACGCGAGAGATGAACGTGAAGTTCGCTCAAAATTATACCAAACAGACGATGATAGGCCGCTCGTTTCTTCGAGTATAATCCAACGAAAGAAAGAAGAAGCATACGTCATCCAACTGCTCGACTGCTAAAGAAATTTCTTTCTTCTTTCCTTCTAAATTAGTTTCGATTCGTATCATGGAACTGGAGATTTAATGGAATGGATCTTTCTCCAATCTCGCTTTACATATTTTTAAAAATTACTTCAGGAAATACCATCGAATTAGTCTCTTAGGAAATAAGCTAACGATCGATAAATAACGTTTTAATTGGTGAAAGGGAAATGTTCTCAAAGAGATATCTTGCGTCGTTTCAGGTGCGGACAATGAAGCCTCCCCGAGGATTTGCATAGACGTGCGCGTGGAAACTCCGACAATGTGCAATTCCGTGTTAAAGTGTTCGTGAACGGGTTTCTCGTTATTCGTATGATCTTCTCGGCTACCTGTATCGCATTCCGCCCGGCAAAGGAATACGCAAGAACGATGTCATAGTCAGGTGCGAGTCGAGTTCACTTCGGGCACAATGGCACTCTTGTTCGCCATTATTGTCATCCTGGTCACCACTGCCATGTCGCTGCCGCCGGTCATCAGAATCGGTAAGTCGAAACGATTGTATTTTCCACTCGCGTTAAATTAGAATCTATAATTCCATTATTGTTGAAATATTGGCGAGAAATAACGATAATATCGATATTATTTTCCATCACGCGGAAAAAATTTTCGCGTATCTTCTTCTATACAAGTCGAATCGACAAGTTGTGTTGCCGGAACCAATGGAAAAAATGTTGCTTTTAATAAAAAGTTTATGAATGTGTAGCAATATTGAAATTTTAATGTTTATCCTCCGTTTTTTCAAAATTTGAATTTATAATTGCACAAGGTGGGGAAAACTTTTAAACGTGAGCACGAAATGTAAACAGATTTCATAACGAAAAAAAAAAAAAAAAAAGGCGAAATAATATTAAAAGCGTGAAAAAAAATTTCGAAACTTTTTAATTTCGGATGATTTCATCTCCCCCTCTATGGGAAAAAATTTTCCATCGAAAAGAAGAATCCATATAATCCATTGCCATTTTACACGCGCGAAAATTTTCGTCGGATATCGGAATACGTTGTACGAATATGAATAAAATTGCTTCGTTATCTTCGTGAGTGTCTTCGTATCATGGACGGTAATTAAACCGAAAATTGGCAAATTAATATCCAAGCTTTGAAATATAAGCGAAAAGATAAATCTGTTAATTAAACAGCAACGGATCCTGAGAAATTTCGTGGATCGACGAGTGCGAGAAATAATTTTCGTATTCAACGTGTATGCTCGTTGATCAACCAGGGGAAATTGGAACGAATTTTATACGATTACCCGCATATTCCGCGCGATTACGCGAATAAGAATGTTCGGCCGAGTAATTAAATTTATCTCGAGACGGCTTTTTTCACGGTGGCTTCTCGTTCGTTTAAAGCGAACGTGTAGGGAAAAAAGAGAGAGAAAAGAGCAAGGAAAAAAAAGAATAAGAGAGAGAGAGAGAGAGAGAGAGAGACGGAGGGAAGAATATTTTGCACGGAACACTTATTGAATGGATCGAAGTTAATCTTTGATAGACGGATTGGAAGTAGCCGAGTTTTAATTACTTCTACGACTAATTAACGCCAAAGTCTTCCCTCCCCTTTTATCCTCCCTCGATACACAAAATTCTCTCTCCCCTCGAAGTCGATAAACGTGCGTATCTTCGCCCTGATATATTGAATTCCACGGTCTAATTAGCCCTTTGGCATCGATGCTCACTTTGAAAGCGTGTCAAATTCTCGATCCTGGATTGACATTTAAATTTTTCTCCACGAAAATTATATTAATAACTTATTTATCCAAGCACCATTTCAAAATATTTATTTTTCGATGGACGAACATTGAGATTAATTTTCTTTACATGTTTAATTTATTATTTCCAGTCGCTTTCCTTTTCAACAGTGATAACAATTATGCCTGGAAATTTTATTAATTTCGTCTCCAACGAATTTTTTATTCTCTATAATAAGGGCAAGACAACGGGCACATGTTCTTTATAAAATCATTATTAAAATTGTTTCTCTCAAATCTCAACGATAATTTCTTCTTTGAAAGATACGAAACGAGCACGCAAAATATACACAAGTCTATTTTACAACGAAGCCCAGACTTATTGACTTCGTTCTCATTGGCTGCATAATAACGCCCATCTGTCAATTAATGTCAACATCGGTTGGCCGGTTAATTAGTCAGTTTGGACACGTAGCGTTGCAGACGCAAAGCTTCCTCCAAAGTAGAGAGAGGTCGAGTTGCAGGACGCATACAAAGCGGTTGGCCAGTTATCTTGAACCGCGATTCATCCCTTAAACCGACCACCTCTTGCCGCCGTTAAGTCGTCCTCGTGGTCTCTGACATTAAGAGGCGGCGCTTCTCTCCATAATGGAGGAGGTAACTTCTCCGAAACAGAACACTGAAAAATTAAGCTTGCTTTCCTACGTGACCGTACTCGACAGTCGCGACAGAACGAAAGAAACGGATTTGAAAAGGATCCGTTGCCGCGTTTTCAGCCGATTTCGTCACCCACTTCGATATTCCATCCTACAATTCTCAATTCTGCGTGGCGTGGACGTATTCGAAAATGCCATTTCTCGAGGAATATGGCCCTCTTTCGTGGCCATCAACGAGCTCCGGCCACGCGATGGAAACTTTCCGTCCGGCGTAATTACACGGAATTTCAACGCGGTGAACCACCAGCAGGGAAACTTGGCCGCAATTTGAACCTTGCTGTTGACGAAAGGCCGGCCTGTGATTAAGGAGGCGTCGAGGAAATGTGGCGAAGTAGTTTCCTCTGGTCGAAGGGAGAGGGAGTGAATAGAATTTTAGGGAAATTGTGATTCGATTAATTTAATTGAGATGAAATTGTAACGATTGTTTTCGGATCTCAATTTATGGATTATTATAATGATCAAATATGAAAATACTGGAATAATGCCACGATATTAAAATGGAAAAAAAAGGAAAACGCAAGTTTTTTGAAATTATTTACATTGAAAATTAATTGTGATGCAATAATGGCCGTTTCATTAATTCCAGTAACATATTTGCCTTTGCAAATCTTTGATAAAACGCACATATATGTGAAATAAAATTTAAAATTTAAAGCGAACGAGTTATTAATTACAATTATTAATATCATTTTCCTACACACACACACATATATATATATATCAATACAGTTAAGATAGAAACTCTGTTAGAAGTTTGATTAAGATCAAGCAGTTTATTGTCCGATCAACACGGTAGGTCTCAGGCGTGATTATAGACGTGGTGCAATACACCTGTCATTCAATGTAAATTTGTGTTACGTGTTGTGGGAACAGTCTGACCCTTGTAACTACACTCGTGTAACTTCCATTGTTATCGATTCAATGTATAATATAATTCCAATTAATAGAGCACGATAATTGAAACTGGAAGCTAATTGCAACCGGACTGTGTATTGTGGCAATCTCCTTGATTTTACACGGAGGATTGCACTAGATCCAATATCGTTTGGTTTTGTCGTTACGATAACAAGTGTTCCTCGGGAGGATAGCGACAATCACTGTCGATTTTTCCTCGCCTCGATTCCTTCGGGGATTCCTTTGCGATTCACGAAGGCGAATGAACTTATTTCCATTTCCGATCATGTTAACCGGATTAAACCCGTTACGTCTTATTTAATAACGAATAAAAAGTTATTTCTTATCACAATCACTTTATCGTACGATTTTTAATTTTTTCAAATTTTTAATTTTTCGAAATTAAAAAAAACAAAGTATCGAAATAATTTCCCGTATTTTCGTTCCTTCGATTATTTCACGTTCCACTCTTTATTCTCTCTTTTTCTTTTATTTTTTCGTATTTTGTTTTTCCTCTTTATTATCCTCTACGTATGATATCAATGGAAAATAAAGATTACATATTTTGTATGTACGAATGTACGACGAATGTACGAATAAACATCACGGCAAGATAAATATTCAAAATAAACGGAATTGGACGGTAATAGTGTTTGTAGAAAATAAATAAATCTTGTTTTCCAAGAAGAAGAATCCTATCGTATATTGGATTTTCGCCTTGTTTGACTACGGTAATCAGATCAACGCCGGCACACGATCTCACGAGAAAAATAGTTTCTTTTTGAGGGAACAATATCAATCTTTTGATGCATTGTTATTTGTACATCAATCTTGAGAATTCTATTTCCCAACTGTGGTCCTCCAGCTGGAAGCGAATTTCACTCAACATCTCAACAAAGAAAGGGTATCGTGTTGCGCTTGAAAAAAGCACACTCCTACACCGTACGGATCGCGTGAATGCCTCATCTCTTATTCAACTCTCGCGAATGCTGGTCGTGCTTGATTTTCGTATTTCCTAATTCAGCAAAAACTTGATTCATTGTTCGAGGATCGTCCATGATGTATACTTGTGATATGATATATCGCGTGAAAAACTATAACAAAAATAGAATCTACGAAAACTGTTTGAAAGAATAATTTAATACAATACAATTTAACAACTTTCGATTAATAAAAAAAAAAAAAACTACTCAATATAACAAACTACTTCTCAAACGATCAATCTAAATCTGAACACGAAAGAAAAATTAACACGAGATCCAATTTCGAGATTGTTTATAACAGTTATTTCAAATTATATATAAAACAAAAAGCGTGGAAAAAGCATCGTCTTGTCACTTGGAACGGTGTCACGTAGAAAGAAAAGATGGTGCGTCTTTCACCCCCGAGGCACGTTCCGCAAATATAAGTTGGCGAATTTCCGGCAGCCACTTGTGCGACTTTAATTACTCCTTGGATCCCTCGAGCAGCCGGCATTAGCTCCGCCATTTCGCTTTCACTAACGGGCCAAGACTCGTGTCAACCTTCTTTTTCCCCCGACAATGACGGAGAATTCCTCCCCTTTCGAGAGCGCGAGGGTTGGCCGATATCGAAAAATTATTCCATCGTTAAATCCGCGGATTCCCCTCATCCCCTGTTGAATATTCCGCCTCCTCGCCGTGAAATAAACGTTAATGAAATCCGGAACGGGGCCGATTCGCCATGGTGCTAACAGTATTAAAGATTTATAACTCGACTACCTCGCTACGGGGAATTATAATGTGCTTAGAAGCTCTACGAAGGTGTGGTCGTCCAGTGTCAGAGAAGAAGCCGGGGTTCGACGTGTCTTTATCATATTTATAGCCAACTAACTGGTGATTTGTCTCGCGGGGATAGAGATAAATTCGATAGCTTCCAAGAGGATGGAGGTGGATTTCGTGCGAACAATTTCGTTTCACAATTTAAAAGATAATGCAACGTTTTATATATAATATGATTCGATTCGATGGAGATAGATTTTATTTTTTTTT